TTTGGTTGTTAGATTACCATATATTATATATAATAAGTTTATTGTGGTCTGAATTGTAGCTGTATGCTTATTAGTAAGAAGTTGTAACTTTTCATTTTCTTGACAAATTAACTTTGCATAGCACTAAATACTGCATTTGACAATGCATGCAAAACATTGTTTAATTTCTTTCAAAGACAAATATACACTGTGATATTCTTTTTTAAGAATTTATTTCAAGAACAACATGCATTTAAATAAATAATAAAACTTTGATAACATAGGCTGCAGAATACGCCAAAATATGATATAATACAAAACGGTATAATTTCATGTATTATAATTTACGAAATGGTTGTCTTAAATGTGCGAGTAAAAGGGAACATGATTTTCATGGAATATGGTAATTGTAGAAGTATTATGTCATTGCTTACTAAATGCAAATATTAAGTATATTGCAGTTAAGTAGAGTATTACATACTAGTTTATCACCTACAGGGAACATATCACATCATATTACATGTAAACTAAATAAATAAAATAAATAAATAAATAGAATGCATGAAAAATGTCAAACATACTTATAGGTCTTTAGGAATACATTTAATCTTATTTAATCAAAATGTACAAGGTACAATAAAAAATGCATATTCATAGGATACAATAACCGAAGCCCGACCACAATACTTTTTTTAATGCTGAGAAAGAAGCTGAGCAGCTCTCTCCAAATATAGTCAAATATGATCATAGGAAAGCATTTGTCAAAGGAAGAAAATGGAGTGATCGATTATAAATCTCTCCATGTTTTGTGTTCTATTTTTTTGTTTTAAATTATTTACATTACTTGTTCATCGAAAAATAAACCTATAAGAAACGAATCACACACTTTATAAAAGCCAATCGAAGCAATACAACATGAAGAGACAGATTAATTTGAACATCTGATGGAACTTCAGTTTTAACTGAGGGATATCTTGGTATTAAATAATCAGTGTACAGTGCAAGTACGCTGCGTTTTTTTTTATTATAAACTAGAGGTACTGTGAGCAATGAGCTAACTCAAGAATACCCCCCGCCTCCCATAATGTCCTTGTGTTGCTATTTATTGTTTTACGGTAATATGTAAAGAGTAATAACCCATACTATCAAATGTTATCCAGAAGCTTCTATATGTGACGTCATAGGTAAACATTTAATGGCGATGTCCATGTTTTGCTATGGGAAACTTAAAATACGTGTCGAACAAAAAAGTAAAATAGGAGGTGCACAATGGCAATATGAAATAAAGATTCTATGAAAGTTTCATTAAATTTCACTCAGTAGTATAAGAGGAGTTGCGGATAAGAGATAAAGCGTAACAGACGGACGGACGGACGGACGTACAGATGGACGGAAATACCGATCACTATATACCCTCCCACTTTTCAAGTGGGGGGTATAAAAAGATCATCATCGCTCCTTTTCAGAGTGTTTTGTATAGCAATTTCATTCTCTTTGAACTATTGTCATGGTTCAGATTACCAAAAGATATTCCATTTTGTTCTTACATTTTCAGAAATAAAACGGGAGCTTGGCTGATCTTTTGATAAATTGTAGAATACGAGGGCTGTTCGAAAATTATTGAGACATTGTGTATATTTTGCTTTCTAATGAACGTCTTTCGGTGAAAATTTGCAAATACGTTTGAGATACACTAAGAATAATAAAAGCAAGAAATATTTTACAAATATTAAATATTTTCTCTACAATAAAGAAATAAATAACAAGTTTATAAACTTCAATGGGAATTGAAGTGGGTCGGTCACGTGATCAAATCCTGTGAGAAGATTTGATCACGTACCGACCCACTTCAATTCCCATTGAAGTTTTATAAACTTGTTATTTATTACTTATATATACATTTGAGACAGACAATTGAATATTTTCGAATTTAAATTATTGCACTAACCGTCCGTCGTAGATTTGGAAAAATGACGCAAGGTGTAAATCGGCTTGCATGGCGGTTACGCTTCAAATTTATTAGGCTAAGGAATCTATTTCGAAGGGAATATTTTGTGAAATGCTACTTGTGATCAGTAATAGTGAACAGATTGTTGTCTGGGAATATTTTATTCGTGAAAATGATAATCGATGCTGAAGAGACACAAGAAACACGTCCGAAGTTTGATGATAAAAAGTTGGAGGAATTTCGGTCTCTGGAAAGGGATGGATAGATCCGATGGACTGAGACACTTGTCCGAGCCAGTTATTTGCAATTTGATCAAAAATAATCCACGGTTTCAGTAACTAAAGGCATACTTATCGTAAAACACTGATAAACACGGAGACACTGGCGACAGCTTTATATTGAACTACGAAAACGCCGAGGAGTTTGGCAGCTGTTCATGGCATGATTGCAATGATATAATTTTCCAACAGATTTACACATTTATCGTGAGTAAAACAATGTAAAATTTAAATATAAAATAAAAGTTTATGAAGAAAATTAAACCAAAGGTATACTCAAAAAATAAGGATGAATGTTCGAGACTGTGCAGCTGACAAAAGTGAAGAAAAATGTAAACAAACGCTAGGCTCCTAGTTTTCTCTATACGTACACAGATTGAATCGATAGCCCAAAAACTGTATGAAATACTTGTTTACATTTAAAATAAAATAATTATCATTTTACTTGCTTATTTTATTCATATTTATACACGAAAGCAATTAGAGCAGGTCATTTTATGATTTATGTACCGGTAGATATTATTGCGCCGTGTGATTAGGTCACGTATTGACCTCTGACCTCTGACAAACTTCATATAGAATTGAAGATATTTTCTCTCTGTATGTTTACATAATGGAGAGATACCACAAATGTATATATTAGTATGTAAATGCGTCAATAGTAGGGATACACGGAGCAGTCACGAAATCAGATATTGAAAATATGTAATACCAATGTTCTAACTCTTAGTGGATCCATAAAAAGAACGAAAATAATTCAGTCTAAGTGTATAATTTTTCAGCTTTATTTCAAATTCATGTTGTGCAACTTTGATAGAATTTTGATTCGAAATACGGAGATCGTAAAAAAAATTAAGCGCGGTAGAGAAATCTGCTAACAACGAAAAAAATGGATTTTGACGTCAAGGGCGGAGCAGCCAGCATACCTAAAATTTTGTGAAGCGCAATGTAGAACTCTTTTCCAGACTGAACGAACTGCTAAAAAAATAACAACGAGAATAAATAATGTCTTAGGGTTTGTTATTTCATTGGCATACATTTTTTTTTACAATTACTTTAACCAGAGTAAAATTAAAAGCTCTGGACGACGTACGGTATTAATATCGTTACAGTATTAAGCCCGCGTTGCAAAAATCGGCACTGCATGATTCTAAGTCATCCTTTTCCACAAATGAAAATTTTACACTGGGGTAGCAACAGCATACATTTTTAAAGAATAGTTTAATAAAAAATATTGTTTGATTTTTGTAATGTTATATGTAATAACAAAGAAGGAAGAGTATTAAACGCTTCCCGGTCGTTTCACATTCGAATCCATCTACGGCTAACGCGCATTAATTTGCAAGATTTTTTCAATGATAAATATTATTCAAAATATTTTACGTAAAATAAGATAATATTTTTTTCCATGGTTACATCTGATAAAATATAATAAAGGTTTAAGTAATTAACCAAAGAGTTAAAATTTTAGTGCAAAAAGGTCAACTTCATTGTACCGTAGATCAGTAAGATGAACACTGACCCCCCATTTTCTCTGCGATTTTGAGTCACTCTATATGAGTACTTATCCAAAATATACTTCTCAATAAATCCTTGATTTAACAAATTTCACAAGTGAAATACCTTAAACGCATAATTACAGATTCCAAAACTTGTCTACTAGGTTTTCCTCTCAGTACTTTTGCTTTAGAGAAACCAAGACAATTTGTGTACTGTGTTTACTCTTTCCGTTTTCTCCAGTCTAGAACTAACGGATGCTCCTTAAATACACTGTCGTCTGCAAGATTTTTTAACCTTTCTTCACAAAACAAATCTATGTCTTTCTCGCATGCTATAATAGCGAGGGGGTCAGGATGACTCATAGGGCGAACTAACTGAAGGATGGCATCAAGATTGCAAAACTGTATCATCTGTTTCGGGTATTTTTTGTAGCATGCATGAAAAGCACAGATGTAAAGAAAGTTATGCCAGAAGACGCGTACTTCTCGTGTTTCATCTTTTTTGGGTTTTTCTAGATCGAATCTTTCCGACCACATCGGAGCAAGTTTATCCTTATCCAACATTTTTGTGTATTTTGCAACTTTTTCAGGCTCTGACAGCATGTCTTCCGAAATGTCGAATTCACTTGCTATTTCTTGTTTAAATTCCTTATTGTCATGATAACCTAAACAAACGAAGTATGGGAGCCATGGCCAGGTTTGATCTTCCATTAAACCCTCAAAAAGGTTTTGCACTGCTTTGAGTGGACCTATATTTCTCCTTAAAAAGTCTGGAATCATCTTATGATCTAAACTCATTAACTTAACAACCAAAAATGTTCCTATCGGTACTTGATCGATTTCTGACACCCTTTCGAAGGTTAAAGATTTACAACCACAACCGCCATCTGAACACGAATTCTGAAGCAAATTTATTTCTTCTACTACTTTCTTTCTTTTGTAAATTGAGCTATTATCAAGCAACACTCTCTCATATTCTGATATACGAATCTCCTGCTTCAGTAATTCATCTTTCAATCTTTCGTGAATCTCTGTGCGAAGGCCAAAAACGAACTTTGTATTATCAAGTGATTTGCTTTGTTCAGCAACTTGAACCAATATGTCCAGAGTTCTCTTTCTTTCGCAAGGATTTTCATTCCACAGTCCTCCCCATCCATCAATGAAATTCACAGTTTTACGTTTAAAAACTTTTTCAGGACAATGTTCAGAAAATTTCTGAGAAATGTCAAGGTAATTATAATAGTGATCGCTCATTTGATGACGTTTGGCATATATTTTGGTTATTTTCTTCCCTGAAGTGGAGACTGAGTTACCTAGTTGTCCGATAACGTAAATTATCTTCTTTGTTTTCAGGTGGTCGACAGCAATGCTTATGTACTCAGCTAAAAAAAATATGCCATTTAAAAAAAATTGAAGGGACATTCCCTAGCATTATATAATTATTCCATACTATTCGAGATTGAACTCATTTTTAAGTAACCCCCCCCCCCCGGCCCGAAAAACATAAGTACAGGGGGTGGTGCATGTTCTTTCTTAACCATCTCATTCGCAGATTTAAGAACTGGATTTGTTATATGTATTTCTATTGGATATGTCTAATTAAGTTTATAAATCAGGAAATGATAGATATGTTCTTTAGTTTATCAAAATGTGAAGAAATGAAATTATTCTCGAGGAACTTCAGGTCAGGTTTTTTATCAGCCCAATTTTTCCTTTGTATATTAAAGTTATGAATATGTCAATATCAAAATTTCAATCATCCATACGGTATTATCTTTTCAATGTATTTATTTTTTTACTAAAAACTATCCAGAATTGACACCTATATTACATTTCATCTATTTCTCACAGGATCCGTCATCGAAATAGTGAATATAATGAATAAGAGGACTTTAAATAACAGACCTTTTTAAAAATAATTCCAAAATGTTTCTAAACACATAAAGAATGAATTATGCTGAGATAACTTGGATTTATCTTTTCAATTCTGGTACTTTAACTTGACGTATTCAGCATTTGAAACAACAGATAAGAATGAAAAAAAAAATAAAATATGAATATTTAAAGATATAAGGCATTGAAAATTTGCAGGAAACCAGACGTCTTAAAATGTTTCATAAACAAGTAATAAAAAAATTAATAAAAAGCTTATGATCTAAAATTAAAATTTTCTTTATATTTTTAGAAGGATTTCAAAACAACAAAGAATGAAAACGTGAATAGATAATAGGGAGCTAGAGTAAGTGGTCAAAACATAGGATTATTGCGATCATTTTAATGGATAAAACCCAAAGAGTTCTGTAAAAATGACTGACATCTCAGATTAATCAGCAGAATACATCGTTAAAGGTAAAACGACAAAAAATAAACTTGTGTAAATATTTAGAAATACATGAGCATTATTAACATCGAAAAAAAAAAAATCCATATGGACAATATTCCTTTTCAATCATGCTTACGTTTCTTTACCAGCTTTCTCAATTCAGGAACATCATTTGCATCATCATCATCATCATCATTCCTCCGAAATCCAGAAAGACCTACAGAATGTATTATTTCCTTGCTATATATTAAAAACACGAATACAACACAGTAAAGCATTAGCAGACAACTTTATTAACTGTCACATAGTAACATGTATTATGACGCCCTCTCCAATAACTACATCCCCATGAACATTTAATATTTATTGATTTTTTGTTTACTCGATTTACCAACGGAAAATTACGTTCCTGCAAATAAATGCAATTTGGGTTGCCATGAATCTTGACCTAGAGAAATAAAATGATTCTATAAGTACTATAATTTATGTTTTTTATTTGGCATCACTTAAAGCAATATGAGCTTCATGTTTGACATTGGAAAATTTTATTGCAAATTTGTAATTAACTATTTCAATGACAGAAAAATAAAGATTTATAAACTTCTGTTGTTCATATTTGCTATGGAAATTTTTTTTATTAGCTTTGATTGAAGCAAAATTGAATTATTGTTCAATAATGATTTCTTATATAAATCTGTATATTCGGTCGTACAGAAATATTTCTTCTGAAACATTGTAAAAATTTATTTTGGGCTTATTGGTCATAAGGGTTTAAATTACATAGAAATGAATCATAATAGCATATTTTACTAGCAAAATAAAATTTTCAAAAATGCAGCTCATATCGCTTTAAAATCTCATTTCAAAAATTATATATGTACATCCTCATCAAACATGTTTCAGAGATAAAGTGATATGCGTATACTTTTTTTATTATGCTTGTAGTTTGTTATTATTATAGAAAAAAACTACATAATCATTTATTGCAAAAACATAACACCTTTAGTTGAAACCTGAACTAACGGATTTTTTTTAACTTAATCATGTTAATTTTTGAATTAAACATATTTTATTGACAAAGTCAAAATGATCAGACACAAGTTCAGTAATTTATATAGTCCTCTCCAAATATATAACATTTTGTAAAATTGCCAAAAAAAAAAAAAAAAAAGAAAAAAAACATATATACATGCAGTCTACTGCATACATTGAAAACATCGTAGCAATAGAAAAGAATATATTCTTCAAATGAACAAATGTAATTTGAGATGGTAAGAGAAAAAAGTATTAAACTTAGTTTGAAAAACGACCACATTAATTTAAAAAAGTTTGAATAGTCTTGAAAAGTTCAAAATTTTGTCCAACTGTTAGAGAATCATCGCCCCATAGCATTAAATGTATATCTATAACATGTAAATAATCAAATGATAATAGATTATTCATTAAGGAATGTCTTGCTTTTACATAATATTACAAACAAAAAACAAATGATATGCATCTTCTAGTAGTCCACAAGAACAATTAGGACTGGTTATTAGGTTACAGCTATATAAGTCGGAATTTAAAATACAATTATGTCTTAATCTTGTATGAATTATGTTCAAAAACCTTTTTCCATAAGAAAAAAATATTTCTGAGGTTTTACATAACTATTTTGCAGATAGTTTTTTTTTTTAAATTTTGATAGAAGTTGCCTCTCTTTTTTTAAGACGAAGGGAATTCCACTTTCTAACAGTATCGGGAATTAAATTTTATGAATCCCTATTACTTTACATTATCACCAATCCTTCAATAAAATAAACACTATCATTGTATTTTATGCTCCCATAATCGAAGATTTGAGGGTATACAATTTTTGTCTTGTCCGTCTGTTTGTCTAGCTGTCTCACTGTCTGTCTGTTTGTCTCTTTATCCACAAAAAACTTTAACCTTGCCCATAACTTTTAATTTAGTGGAGCTATGACTTTTTTATTTTACATGTGTATTCTTTGTTACGAGACCTTTAAATTGGTACAACTGTATTAAATTTGCATTGAAGAAAAGTTTCATTGTTGTTATTTAGTCGTACCCGAAGAAAGGTTTTGTCACAAGGAATACACCTGTGAAATATGGAAGCCATGCATAGTCATGCATAGCACCATCTAGGTGTACTCAAAAGTAATGGGCAATATTAAAGTTTTTGGTGGACAAACAGACAAACAGATAGACAGACAGAGAGAGATATAGGCAGACATAGAGACGGAAAGGGCAAAAACTACACACTCCGTAATCGAAGAAAAAAAAAATAGTAATCATGAAATCAAATATAAAATGTTAGGTCAAAAATGTCGGAAGCCCATTTAGGACCTATCAAAAAATATTTTTGAATTCGTTATAACGATTTTTCGAATTCGTTATAAGGAATTTAATTTATTATAACAGATTTATTGAATTCGTTATAACGAATTTAATTTGTTATAGCAGATTCATTGAATTCGTTATAACGAATTTAATTCGTTAAAACAGATTCATTAAATTTGTTATAACGAATTTAATTTGTTATAACAGATTCACTAAATTGTTATAATGAATTTAATTTGTTATTACAGATATACTGAATTCGTTATAACGAATTAAATCTTTTATCACAGATTTCTTGATTTCGTTATAACCAATTCAAGAATTTGTTTTAACGAATTTTTGAATTGGTTATAACGAATTCTAAAAATCGTTATAACGAATTTGATTTATGGGCTTCCGTACTACGAAAAATGTTTCAATACAAGAACAAATCCTCTTCCTCAAGGATGCATTTTGGCAAGTTTTGATGATATTCGGATATTGGTTCTTCAGATGAAGCAAAAAAAAGTTCACAGACGAAAGAAGGTTGGCGGACACTCTTTGATCAGGAAAGCTCATTTGAGCCTTTGTCTCAGATGAGCTAAAAGCTTCTATCTAGTAGTCATGAAAATGAAAGTTGTCGTAATCATGAAGTAAGGGACATATGATCGTAAAAAATACTACTTGTAGTTGGATCTTGACCAGATTAATTCCCATTAAATTCGGGGTTCTACTTTTCACTGGCCTAACCCCGATACAATTAAGAAATAGAGGTATAAGATATAATACTTACATTTCAGGGTTTGTCGTCTCTTCTTAATTATTAAAATCACCACAATAGATATCACCAATACAGCTGGTATGAGCCCAAGTGGTAAGCCAATTTTTAAGGCAAATGCATCGTCCTTGCTCCTAATAAATAAATCACGATAAAATGCAAATACATGAAAAATATATTTTTCCTATACTTTTATGATGCTTTTAATAAACGCATATTTCTTGTTCAGCTGTAAACCCAATTTATCATTAAGGCGAATAAGATTGTAAAGCTTTAATTTCAATATATTAGTTAAACATCCTCAAGGGAGAAACTAAATAATTTCTCAACGGAAAAGTTAGATGTTACGATTTAATGACAAGATGTGCATAAAAGATTTTTTTTTAGTCTGAGCAAGGAAGACACATCAAGCAGGAATAAAAATGATGACAAGTACAAAGCACTACCTAATTAATTAACATATATTTCAAATTTATCCGTGTGCTGTACAAATGCATTTCAGGAAATTATTTTTTACGACAATTTATGCGAAATTTAATAAATGAAGTTAGAATTTTTTCACCTTTCTCTTGAGGGATGTTCATCTTCCTTGCTTATATACTGATAAACTTCCGTAAAGCCATTGATTGAAAACATAAAAGAGATTTCTTTTCCCCTGTATATTGCATGTTCCTATTTCTAAATATATATTGACTGCTCAAAATCTTTATAAAGAATATTACCTTGATTGCTGACTCCAATGAAGGTTGTTTTCTTCACTTTCAATTTCAAAACAAACAGGAACTGCCAAAATTATATACATGTATACGTATATTAAAGACTCAAAAATCCAATGGTGACGCAAAAGACCGATGGTCTTGCCAATCACCGATGGTCTGCACCAAACCCCGATGATCTGTTGTCGATACGGACGCCAAAATCGGAGTTATGCCAAAATCCAATTGCTTGTTTTTCATAAGACATGCTGTGCTAAAGTGCGATGGTCTGACACGCCAAAGTCCAATGGTGTGGAGAAACACATCTCACCCACCCAAGGTATCTTGTTTATAGATTTTACACACTTTTCGAGCAATTAGGGTAAGATCCGTACCTATCCGAGAAATAAAGTTTAAACTTAGCATAGTGACCCTGGCATCGCACGCATGACAGTTTGGCACAGTATTATAATGAAGTCATCAGCGTTAACTAGTTTGAGCATCATCGGACTATTGCGTGTCAAACCATCGGGGTTTGGCGCAGACCATGGGACTTACACTTTGGAGTCCATTCGCACTTTGTAGTCCTACACATATATATATGCACTGATTTATGATAATAATGATAAAAAGTTCTATTATTTTTTCACATCGTCAAAATAATATATTCTTACAATTGTACACCTCGTCACTTCTGTAAGGGATGCTAGGGCAACCAGTTTTATTACAAGTCCTCCAGTGAAGATAGTAATCATTTGTGAAGATTGGACAGTTTCCTATCAATAAATAATTATAATCAAATTAATATATGTCGTTCTCGGTATTTTATTGCACGTTGGTTCAACCAGGGTATATGGAAAAGTAGATCCGAAAGACCGATAAACATCCTTAAAATATGAAATAAAGGGAAAACAATAGTTCCTTTTTATAAATAAAAAAGTGGGTGTTTTGCCTACTTACATTAAATAAATGCATTTAATTTTTCATAAATGGTTATCAATTTGAAACGTAATCTGTTGTGATAACACTAAGGTCTACAGGTCGATAGTTGACATCTTATTGTTAAATCTTATCCCTGAAAATAAAAATCAGCAGGTCGGCATCGAATTGCTAGATCTTTCAAAGATCGAAAGTTGACATCCCGTTGGCACACTGATTTCCTTAAAACAAAGGTAGATTTGTCAATTCGTTTAACTGTCTACCAGCCAGCCTCTCGACCTGAATACATGTTGATCATTCAAGCAAACAATCAGTCAACCCATCTACCTATCGACCTGTCAATCAAACATTATGTCTTCCCGTCGACCTATCTTCCTTTTTACTTGTCAACTTAATTACCGACCTGTCAACTGTTTATAAGCCCAAAGTTTTACCAAAAAATTGTAGAATTTCTACATATTTCCTCATATTCATTTCAATGTGCATTCATTCTCACAGCCCTTTATTAGTGTATGCAAATATTTACCGATACTTCTTACCCATATCTCCTAGTTGAACCACGTCTTTTCCCACTATTTTCTAATTTTGAATATTGTTTGGCGTTCTTTTTTTATTTTCCAGTTTTTAATCATAAAATGTATTAACCAGTGGAGGGTTTCTAAGAAGAGTAAGACTAGGGTTTTTTACCGTTCATTATTAATGTTCTTTCTATGCATTTCTCCTCCCTTGTTTTCCCGTCCTCCATGACTAGACAGTGGTAATCATCTTTGCCCTGACATACTTTCGTTTTGGACCTGACATTCCATTCAGTTTCATTCAAAGGGCAAATTATTGTTGATAAGTCACCTGCAATAATACAGTAAATTTACCTATTTTTATAAAAATGGAACTTTGTTGAAAAAAGAAAGACAAGATGATTAGCAATTTCACATCAGATTTAATACTTCTTTCTTCAAATGTACAATGAATAAAGAAGAAGTTTGAAGCATGAATAATTCCTATCATAGTTTCTTTGTTTATTTTTTTTGTCATGCTCAAATATATTAAAGGTATTGTCCATAATAATTCTCTGTTTCGTTAGAATGATATGTTACTTTCGTTTGATTTATATCACTAAGTATTGAGGAAATGTTATATGAACTTACCAACAGTAAAGGAAATCATTATCAAAAGGAATGTTAAAATATCCATTTTCTTCCTATGAATTCAATATGCTTTATAGCAATACTTCAACTGCAAAATTAACGAATGCTTTAATAAATTAAATAGAACTGACTAATTTTATGACGTTTCATTTTCGATTTGAATGAGTTAACTACAGTTTACCCGAATTAATTAATTAATTATGAATGTCATGTCTGGCTCGACTCTCTCTAATCTAATTGTTAATAGTGTGTAACAACTCGATAAGTGGTGTAAATACATATAGTCCTTCTATTAATATACATATAAATTGATGTACTGCAAGAAAAAATAATCTAGGTTAGAAGTACATTACGATTATTTCATTATTGTGTCCACTTAAACACCATCCTACCCTAAGCATACCATAGCAAATAAAATATAATTATTAAACAGCATAATAAGCAGAAAAAAATAAGTTAAAGGATTTTATCAATATAAGAAAAGTTATCATTTAAATAGAATTCTAATACCTATTAAATTGTATGTTAATTCCGCAAAAAATGGATGAAAAGAAGAGGTTTTCTCCTACATACATTAACTTTCATTTTCGTTTCATTTTGTACTGAAAGGGTAATGAGGAAGTCAGAAATAAAACATCATTAAAACGTGCGTCATGGACTGAAATACACTGTTTAAAAATAGCTTATGGGTTTTCTGGCCTTTTAAAAATCCCCTACGATCACTGAAGTGCAGGGAAATATCTAGAATTTTTTGACGTATATTCTACATATACATGTTTCAAATGTAAATAAATATACATGTACTGTATAGGCATTTGCAACAGTATCTCTATTTTTCACAATTGATATTTTATCTAAACAATAAATGACCTTTGTTTGTTCATATAAGAAATAAATAAACATCGAAAGCGGGTTGTTTTTCTTTCTTTCTGCAGTATATCCAGAGATGTCTATCCCTCTAAACTCCAAAATTCACCTTCGTCAACGCCTATCATATTAAATTTTTTGCAAATTTGAAGCATTTGAAAAAGTGTATCAATCTACTGTAGACGTACTTTTTTCCACGGGATCATAATTCCACGGAATCTCCATTTCTGTTTAATCCGCATGTAGAAAAGTACGCGGATTTCCTAGACAATCACTTTATGCCTTACAATTATATTAAGAACGCGTGGAGAAATTTCCGCGGAAAATTTGTGACCGCGTACATAGCTTAAATTAATACCGTAATATTAATAATAGCGTAAAAAGTACTTCTACAGTATTTTAATTTCTTTTCTTTTTTCTTATTTTTAAAAAAAAAATTTGTACGTGTTAATCAGTCAATCATAAAAATCAAACGGAAGCCTGTTGAGGCCAGTTCTCACCCCTCGAAAACCACTGTCAACTCTGCTGCGCCTCGGTGACAATGGTTTTCTAGAGGTGAAAATTTTCAATGTTACACTCAACTACATGCAATATCTATATATTGTGAATTGAACATTTGCGTGGTCGGTACTAGTGTATATAATATACCATTATTTTCAAAACAGTGGGATTGACAAATGTCTTGATACTGTATCATGAAAAGACCATTGGATGGCCTTCTTGTCCATTTCCAATGTGCGTATCGCACCATTTCTTGCCCAGATATGAAATTCTTGATCACTAAAGGTGGTCTGTGAGGTTGCCACGGGAGTAGTTCCACAGTTATAAATCACATAACAACAGTCATTGACTATCATATCGCCTGTTATAATCTGTGGCCTTAGTGTCCATATCAAATCCACTCAGCTTCCGGTTGACCCAGTTTTGTGGAACAATTTTCAACTTAATGTATGTTGCTAACTTAATGCAGTCGCTATCTATAGTAAACATTTTAAAGTTTGTTAATTGATTTGCAACAATATATCATGAGTGGAATTCAAAAGCTTTTTATCATTTTCATTACTTACAGATTTATTCAAAGAAACCCACTGCAGACGCCAAACTGTCAACTTTAGCACGCTCTTCTGGCGTCAAACGCCGCAAACGGTGCAACTTTTTTTCTGAGTTTTTAATTGATACAAATGTAAATAACACAAATACAAAGGAAAAATTGAATTTTTTTTCTTCGAAAATGGAAAAGACTCAATTTTAATTTTATCAATGAACTGGTCATACTTCAGTAAACATAATAGTTATTTATAAGGTTTGGCATTGATATGTCTTTTTTTTTTATTAAAGTTACTTATTTATATATCAAATACATCATATACAGGTTTTTAAAAGTAAAATATTATTTCTCTTAGGTGGTGCATTAGCAATTTTGTCTAGTGTATATTTTACGTGTTTCTCAGCCATGCACCGTGCATTTGAAATAGAAGAATCAATAATATGGGTTTTGTAAATATTTTTATGAGCGATGATTTTACACTTCTTCAAAGGGGAGAAGGCCAAATAGAAGAGGCACATTCATTATGTTATTGGAAAATACTTTTTGTTTACTTCAATCTTCCTACGTGTATGATTTGGTAAAAAATAGAGATTGATATTGGGGTGATGGATTTTCATAAGAATTAAGAAAATGTCAGCTAAGTATAGAATAAGAAAAAGAACTGTGCTTTATTCATAGGTCAGACTTTTAAGGCTCGAAAAAAAAACGTGTATCAAAGATATACAAACGGTAAGGGAAAAACGTAAGTTCCATGATTATAAGACAACCTCTACCGTGTGTACCACCCTTAAATGCAGAAAGCGAGAAGTGATCTATCTCAGAAATCTGGAAACAATTCAATTATGTGAAAAGGGCATAAGACAAGGACCCCAGAAAGTCCTTTAAGTAATTACAATGTCCTATGAAGAGTAAGTAATAACAATGTCCTATGAAGAGTAAGTAATAATGTCCTAGGAAGAGTATGTAATAAGAGTAAGTAATAACAATGTCCTAGGAAGAGTAAGTAATAAGAGTAAGTAATAACAATGTCCTAGGAAGAGTAAGTAATAAGAGTAAGTAATAACAATGTCCTAGAAAGAGTAAGCAATAACAATGTCCTAGGAAGAGTAAGCAACCCTGGTTTCCGGATCACAGCCGCCACGTGCCCCACAGATTGATCAGGTCGATTTCAATGTAAAATTTAGTATAAAACAAAGGCCTATCAATTGATATAACAGCCAAAATACGCACAAACGATAGGTTATATTTCTTAAAAAGGTCAGTATAACGGCCATAGAATATACGAAATACCGACTTTTAAATCTCTGTAAGATCATCTTATCTGTTAGTAGCCTGCTTCGATTTAAAGTAAATAAGACAAAAATTAAAAGACAAAGAAGAGGATGTCTCAAGGAGGACATACATTTATTCGAGAAATCTATAGAGTATTTTTTTCTTGCAAGAATTGTTCAAATACGGATTTAAATTCCTCTGTAGGGCCATTAACAAACAATGTTTACAATTCTCTAGAAAGCCGTATAATTTTTGATACACCTTTTTATCAGAGTTTGAAACTCACTGTAAATATAGCTAGGCATGCAGGACTGACTGCTAGTGAAAGTGTTATGCCTTAGACAAAATGTACTACCTCTAGAAAATAATTGTCTTTATGAATTTGTTTAAACGGGATTCAGATCATCGAACCTTACAACGAGTTTTACTTGTATTTTGCTTGCAACTCTTTACTGCTAATATCATCACTTGCTTAGGGAGAGATAATCAAATTGATGAATTTTAATTAATAAGAAATATGAACAAGTCCAGTGGGGCGTCGATACATGGAAATCTGTTAGCCTGCAGGGAAATTTGTTCTTCTTCGGCGTTCAGGCGCACGGTTATTTCAAACACTGCTTTTCACACATTAAATACACAGATAAGGAACAGGAAAAACCCATTATAGATATCTTTTTATTTATAAAAGCAAGACAAAGAAGCTTTATCAGAGAGAGTGTTAGTACAGAGGAAGACTTGCACATTGTATAACACGATTATAGATTATATATTAAACACTGCAGCAACAGTCTGAATTATAAGAAAAACATAAATAGATGTGTAAAAAATAGTTTCATTAAAAAAAAAAAGAAAGCTTTTACATAAACTTGTGACAATCATATTTCATAACGTTAGATCAACGAAAGTATATTTCTGTCATGTTTTATACCATGACTACCTCAAATAGCTTAGTAGAAGTAATATATAATTATGTTTTTAAAATTCAAAATCATGTGACTGTTAACTACAAGACGTAGAAATTATCTAAACTGATCTTACCATTCAGTATTCTAAAACTACATGTAACACGCCTGACACTAAAGGGAATGCATACATTGCATGGTTTTTTTATCATACAACTAAAATAGAAATATGGCTTTAGGGTAACATTAAAACATACTTTAAATCTGTGGCACTTTTAAAAATCCGAAAATCTAAATATCGAAGACTTTAGTGAAGGTTTCATATTTGTACGGTTTATGGTTTCGCAGAAGTAGCGATAACAAGGTTTTCCGCACAAAGGGCGATAACTATTAATAGAGTCAATCTTACGGAATACAAATTAAATCTTTAAAATAGTTTTAAGAGTACATATTAATGATGCTAAGCCAGTTTGTATATGTTAAAAGACAAAAAAGATATAAAAAGGGCTCAATTTCTCAATTTTGGAATGACCTTGACCTTTGACCTTTACATGAATTTTAAGCTCAAAGCTCAATGAATCTTATGCAGTTGGTCCCATGTCTCTATCACTTCTCGTTTTGAAAATTTTTAATAATTTCTAAAATTCAAAAAGTTTCAGGGGCAATAACTCATTGAAGGAGTCACCGAATACTTTCGCAATGAATAGATTCCAGAGTCCTCTCAATTAGTCGAAGACTTTAGTGAAGGTTTGGTGTCTATACGGTCTACGGTTTCGGAGGAGTAGCGATAACAAGCATTTCTTGCGTAAAGGGAAATAACTTCGAAAGGGGTCAAAGTTCAAACAAGGGCTGTCGTTTTTCAGAATAATTTTTGATTTCCAGTTTCATGAACTATAAAGTTTTTCGATAAGTCTTGCGGTTTCAAAAGTCCGGGAAGAAAAATAATAATAAACATAAGCATTTCAAGAGGTCTTTCCACAGAAAGGTGGAAAGACCTAATAATAATAATAAACATAAGCATTTCAAGAGGTCTTTCCACAGAAAGGTGGAAAGACCTAATAAACATAAGCATTTCAAGAGGTCTTTCCACAGAAAGGTGGAAAGACCTAATAATAATTCAAAAACATGCAAATTTATTCACTTAATTTGTATAAAGTCTAAGATACTGTAAAAAATTGAAGCATTAGTAAATCAAAGCAATTTATAAAATTGTAGGAGTTCAGATGTCACTTGCTAAAAAATTAAAATTATAACCAACATAGAAAATGGTTTCATGAAATAGCAAACAACGTACTAAGCTATGTCATGTTTGTGCAATTTATTATTTTTGCCGGATGCACTTGGAGAAAGCAAATACAGCCTACCACATATATTCCAAATAAAGATAAAACATGTTTAACTACTTCTAAATTTCTGATTAACATATCGAGTCTTCAACTCCAATTAATACCAACCCTTTGGAATCAGTGCATGAGATTCGCTTTCCAAACTTCTACTCCTTGCAAAAC